CCCTGGGCTGTCCAGAAGTGTATTGCTCCAAGAAACAAAGACGATCGTTTCTGCTTTCTGTTTTACACTCCTCCCATGCGCAAGGCTCTGATAAACAGTCTATTTCCAATGGATCCCACTAGATGGAAATGTTCTGAGGAGGTAGAGTAGAAGTCTTTGTTGCGTTGCAAGGACTTCTGCAATGTCGTTCTGTCTTTGTGACAGCTAACAAGTCTGTGAGCTTCTACGCCCGCTGAGTGAGAGAACTGTTGCTGAAGACAATGGCTGTTCTTTCTGATACTGGCTGATTGACCTGTACAGTGTTAGCTGATTGAGGCTGGATGATGGGCATCCTGTTTTGCTCCACCACAATCCTCAATAGTCACTCTGTGATGATCAGTCTGTACCCCAGCTGGCTGCATTTGGACGAAAGATGATTTGTTATGTGACACATCTGATCCCTCAAACCTCTGCAAATCTTAGTTTAGCATCAGTTGCTGCTAAAGCAGTTCGCATTCAAGCTCTTCCTTCTCAGCCTTAGTTTAGCTTCTTGCTCTCCAAGCTCGCCGTTCCTTTAAGCTGCTGCCTGTGCCAAGAGTGTAGCCTTCTCCAATTCGGGTTTCAGCGGCTGAGATGCTGAAGATTGGCCTGTGCTGCTTTTGGACATTCTAGACTTCCTAGATGCTGCTACGGATATGCTGTCAGTGGGCTGAACACTCTCATCGGCCATTTTTGCTTCCTTCGTACGTTGATGGACTTCCTTTATCCAAGCATCCACGTTGTCAACAAAGCTTCTCATTGCATCTGCTTTGGGCTCACCAATTATCCATGTCCTCTCTTGACACAGCTTGCTGAAATAGCCCTTTACAGATGTATTTAGTTCACAAAACTCTCCAAAGATGTGATTAATTCTAAGACACTTGGTTTTAACTATTTCCACATTGCCATCATCCTCTATTAACTGGCAGCATCTCATTCTTTTTCTCTGTTAGCTGACCCAGCTTAGCCTTTCTTGAGCCTATTTTCCTTTGTAATGCATCCTCCATCGCCTTAGCTGTAGGCTTCACCTTCCGCTTTTCCACTGTTGCTGAATCTTTATCTTCCATGATTCTCCCATTAGTTTGTTCCACTTAGCTGGGAGCTCAATACAGCTAACCGCCCCAATAGCCTCAGGAAACACACAAAGGGTAGCTATTCACGTGTAGTTAGCTAGTTGTTAGCGGGTCGTTCGCTGCTAATTAGCATAACACTGTGTTGCTAATATACTCCCCAATCTCCTCCGTGTCCACGAGTAACTGCACTTACTTTCTGTGCTGAAGGGCTGACTGGTGAATCCTCTCCTCGTATTTCATGTCCATGTGTTGCAGTTACATTTCCAATCCAAAGACTGCGGCCGCGAGGAGATAGTTTCTTACGAATATTACCGCGGATGCACTAGCTGGTAGTCGGGCCGTGCGCGTGTCTTAGCGCAGTTGAACATAACCCACAAAGTCCGCTTGTAGTCGAAAAACAAACAGGCAAACATTTATTTCCACAGTTTTGAAATACAGAGATCCATTTGAATGTTCCAGTACACTGCAAACACGGTATGAAACTGTTTTTTCTCCACAGCTAGTTAAAGCCCCCGTAGCTCCACACTGCCTGTCGCGAACCCACCCCCCGTGCACAGTTACCGTGTGTTAAAGGAACAGTACATAAAATTAAATAAGGCAAGAAAAAAAATACAATTTAACTGTAAATCTTACGCTAAACAAATTATAAAGTAAAAACTGAAATTCCCCATTATCTTACACTTATGCTTATCCAAAATGATTCAAATTATTAACAAATATACACTCTGCAATCTGAGCAAACTAAGAGATGATTAGACCTTATCCTATACACCAGTAATTAAATAGATTCAACATCTTTCTTCAACAGAATTGCAGACTACACAGATGGTACCTTACCAAAGTAAAGAATACTATAACTTACTAGGGTATATACTAACTAGACTTAATATTTACTGAATACAATAATGATTTCTATACATTTTACATCAGATGAAAACGTTGGTTGAAAAATTCAAATAATTATTTAATAAAAGCGAGACATTTTAAATGAGAATAAGAAAGTATTTCTTTGTGCCCTTCTCTCCCTGTTAATGCCCTACCTGGCCCCCAGGCAAAACTTTGCTAGACCCGCCCCTGCACAGTTACCAGCTTTTCAGCCACTTAGAAAAAGGATCCTGGTGTTATTTGTCTCTCAGAAACAGTTCATAACTTCAACTCATTCATGTCACCTAAAAGGTAAACCTGTTTCTCCATCACCTCCTGTTCAGCTCTGATGATTCAGTAAGGACATCTCCTGGTTTCATCTTCATGTTTCCCTCTCACCACATATCCAAACCGACATCATGACCAGCAGCGTTACAGCTGTGGCTCCAGCAAACATCAGCTGATACTAGAAATTAATATTAAATAAATTCTAACAACAGCTGATCAAGCTTAAACGTGCTGCTGTTGTTTAATAACCTCCGCTGGTTTCCTCTTTCTGGCGCAGAGAGAAAAGCCGATCAGCTGATCATTGATCAGTTTCATGACTGAATTAGCAACTTTCTAGCTGAAGTTGTACGGCACAAATCCCGTTCCTTTTCACCTTAACTTTAAAGTTTGACCTCCTCGGCTGTAATTGGTCCAGCCCAGAGTCGATCATGACCAACTGGCCAATCCACCACCACTCATTTATATCATTAAAAAAAGAAAAGGAAGAAAACCCCATTGGCCCATAAAAACCAAAAATCACGAGCGGCCCACCGGACAAATGCCCGGTATGCCCGATGGCCAGTTCAGCCCTGAAATACAGTCATGACAGTAAATAAATATGAGTTCAAGGACTTAACAACATTACTTCAGTTACATTACACCAACATCTCTGATACATTAGCACTAAGGAATGTAAACTAAAACGAACACTGAATGACCTGGTGGTTTATGTCCATCTAAGATTACCACAAAGTAAAAGATCTCTCAGCAACATTATGCAACATTTTAGGCACTATTGTCCCAATCAAGTCAGTGAGTTGGGATTTTCTATTCTAAACATGAACTACTGTTACAGCAACAGACATGGACTACTGGTGTCCCACACAACAACTCAATGTCCACTATGTGAAGCAGCCAAACACAGGCCTGCTCCTCTCTTTAACTGAGATAAACTGCTGCTGGCATATTGGTTTTACATCTATACTGTCCAGTCTCTCCTGGTGGACACACAGCAGCATTGTTTAATCTCATTCGAGTCATTGTTGACTTTAGCCATGTTTTTAGTCTTCTGAGAGCACTGAAGCTTCTTTTGGCCTCAACTGAGGATACTGGGATGACTAAAAGCAGCCTGACAATTGTCATGATAATAAATACTAGTTAATCTACAGCACCAAATCATCAGTCACTCACCTGTGACCTCGCCTCTCCACCTCTGTCTGAGCTACAACATGGCAGAGCTGCCTCTGTCACCTGATGAATAACAGTGAGACACTCCACATACATGCAGTCACACATGTGCTTCAAATACAGTCATGAACCAACAAGTCATCCTCCAATTCCACCTGTGATCTTGTGTCACCATTACTCTCTGAGCTTTGTGTTGGTTCTGTCACCTGACAAATAGGACAAACATAACAATAAGAATAAAACGTGCAGCTGCTTCAGTGTTTCTGTCACTTTGTGCAGATCTTGACTCGTCAGTAATGTTTGTAGTTGTGGTGTATTCATAATTGTCTCTGGTACATTTGTTGTATGGGCAGTATGTGTTCATTGTTTGATTGTGTAATTACGTGTTTCACACTGGCAATGCATGCCGGGAAATGGCATGACAGGAAGTAAAAAAAGAGATGGTCTTACTGCACACAGTGGTCCCGCGTACTTATTCAGATTCAGAGTAAGAATCATACAGTAGTGTGAGTGCATTTTTAAAACAATTTGTGCAAACTTCACTGCAAGGTGGAATATTTGCAAAATCATGACTAACTCATGACATTTTGTCTCAAAAATTAACCCTATGAACATGTCAGTACCATTAGGATGAAATTATTGTGTCACCAACATTTAATGTTAGACATATAATTCTAACAGTCTCTGTAAACTAATATCCGGGCTGCTCGAGGCTGCTGTTTTCTCTGACAGCTTCAATCAAGATTAGAAATGCTGCTCTGAGACTGAGAGAACTAATAGTGCTGCCTGTTGTGCAGTTTACAAAACACGTTATTCATGGTTACATACAGTTTTAGACTGATGTGGGCCAAAGCCTAGCATAGCCTGTAACGTCATTATGACGGACACATTTTATGAGTGAGCTTGAGTTTAAGTGACTCTATGAAAAATACTTTCTTATATCCAGGTTCTTCCTTTTGGCTGCCATCCTCCTCTCCTCCTCGCAGCGCAGGTTTGCCGCTGCTAAAAATAAGGAGAGTTCCCTGAAAGCACAAGAGCACCTGGCTGCAGCCACTGTGGAGCTCCACAGTAACCGGATACACGTAACTTCAGTTAAATCGACTTTGACAGCAAAAACTAAATAGCGTTTTTGTTACTATTGATGCTGCTGAGAAATAAAAATGGTTTTAAGTGGGGGGCTTTTAACACTCTGGGTTTGTTCAAAAAAATTCACCATCCCCTAAATTGTTCGTGGCCAAAAGTGTACAGTGGTCCCTCGCTATAACGCGGCGCACCTTCCGCGACACTTGCTGTTTCGCTGATTTATTTATTTGTTTTACAGTACATCGTGTTGTGCGTTCTGATTGCTGTAGACCATTGTCAATCAATCTAGTCCAGTGTCTCCTGTACAGGAGTGGTCCCTAATAGGCCCACGGACCGGTCCCGGTCCGTGAGTCCTTTGGTACCGTTCCGCGAGAGTTGATCCTCCGATGTGAAATGTATGGTTGTAGTTGTGTGTCTTATTTTGAAAGAACTACTTACGCGTTACCATAGCGACCAGAGAGCATTAAAAAGCAGAGAGGAGAATGTCACTGTCATTGTTGTTGGCGCACAGCTCAAGTTACGTTTATTATTATATTAACAAAATACCACAGTTTCTTTTTTTAATTCTTTTGTTGTATTTATCCGCGACACCTTAAAGGTCGTTCCCTGAAAATATTGTCTGACATTAAAGTGGTCTGTGGTGCAAAAAAGGTTGGGGACTCCTGCTGTACAGTACAGAATGCGTTTAGCTTGTCGAATTTACATATATCTTCGCTAGCAGTGTAACTCTGAAGTGCTGTACTGTATGTTTGTAAGTTTTCTCCCAAACAAACACAACAATGCCGACGAAACGTTTTGCACCCTCAAATGCACCTTTAGGTTTCATTCCATAATACTGGAGTCATGTTTCTACGAAGGTTTGAACTCTAAGAGTGTTTAAACAAAAGAGAAAAGTGTGAAAATGTTCATGTCTGTCTGAGAAAAGTGTATAAAGCATGTAGTGAGGGGTTTTACAGTCTTAACATCTGTAATAATTGTAAAAAATAAAGTTGGCTACTTCATGGATTTCACCTACTGCGGGTTATTTTTTGAACGTAACACCAGCGATAAACGAGGGACTGCTGTATTATTAATAGTAGAGTCTGGGACATCTAATTGATTAACATCAACATTGATTATTATGGACTATTATTTTTGTTCAAGGAGAGCCAAAAATATAAAACTCTCTCAGCTTGTTTGTTGCCAAAAATGGCCACTTTTTGTGTATGTTCACAAAATGCTGTAAAATGTGTATTTATTAAAACATTTATCTATTTTTACCGACGTGACTCTTTAAAATAGCACCAGTCCTTTTCATCAAAATCAAAATTGTATCTAAATTTTTTACTCTTTATAGCCAGTTAGGTTATATATTACCATTAACTTTTCAGATAAAACGGTGATAAAGTCCTAATGTTTTCATGAAACTTCCTTTTTTTTTTCCCATCTGAGCATCGGGGAAAAGGCTGTCTTGCAATTGTTGAGGTCACTAGTGTGTGCCCCATTTCTTCCAGGATCACTCTCTTTATAGGTTTTAGTGGACTCCTAGTACTGCGACGTGGTTTCATGGTACAAAGGCTTGTATTCCAAGAGCTGGGAGACTGTAGAAATGAGCAGTGATGCCCTTCCTACCATCTTTCCAGAAAAGTGATCTGGAAGCTGTTAGGCTGACTTACAGCAGCAGCACTTTCTGCACCTGCAGAAACTCCAGGACACATTTACTAACGGTGTTTGTTGCTGTATGTGCAGCTTTGAATTTTTTAATAATATATATTTTGTTAATATTTCGGCTATGGTGTCTTGTTATGAAATGTACAAGAGTAAAAGTGTTTTTAGCAGGTGCTTCAAAGCTAAGTTTGACTGGGAAACTCAAAGCTCAACAGTCTGTATCTTGCAAATACATATTTGTGTGGCAATGTCATGCACAACACACACAACTATTAGATCCTTAAGATCAAAACCGTGTCATTGTTTTGGTCCACTGCAGTGCAGTAGTCAAAAAAAAAAGAATAAGTGAAGTGTCCACAGATGGCCAGGATAGAGCCCAGAGTGTTAATGTTTAAAATGTATAAAAATATTATTGATTACAATTCTTTACTGTTAATATCAACAATAAGCTTTTTATTTTGAAATTACAAGTTTAAAAAAAATGCTGTTACATTTAATGCTGTTACACTGTAATCCTTTATTATAAGTATGGACACAGAATAAAGTGAACAACATTTTGAAATAAGTTTAATTGGAATTTTGTACTACGCAAAAAACAAAAAAAACAACAACAACGACATATTAAACAAACAAACACAGCCAGTGCCTTCATTTGTCCATTACATGTCAAACATAGCACTGACCCTTAGCCCCTGCTCATCAGCACATGCTTTCAAAAAGAGCTCCATGTCCTCTGCAAACTGAAAAACAAAGAGGAACAAGTCCCTTGCTCCAGTGTCTTCTTCCTCTGACATGTCTCTTAAGACCCTCTGCTGGTCCCCTGGATTTAAGGACAGATATTTGGGCATTGTTACGTGTCCACGGAAAAGTGCCTTATTTTGGACAACCCACTGCACAGCAGGACGCAGATCTTCAACAACTGCTGGCTCCTGTGTCAGGCAAACGGGGATGAAAACATAGTTATTTCTCTGTTGCAGAACAGTTTTTAACAGTTATTCAAATGTCACTAACCATGTAATTACTGTTTAAAGTGAATACTGACATGACTGACTTCCTGGAACTTTTTCAGTCTGACAATGGGCACGTGTTGTCCTTCAAGCACAGCTTTGGCTTCCTCTCTCCAGTGTGCAAAGCTTGCCAGAGCTTAACAGAAATTGTTGATATTGTTAAGGTGTGTAAACTTTGACACAACATAAAACAGAAGTCAAAATATAAATACCTCCTGAGATCAAAGTTCTCCATCAACAGCAAGCACCACCATTTACACAAGTAGGGCATGTCTGACTGTAAAATATTAATATGAAACATATTTAACAACTTTCAAAAGATTCAAGACTCCATTGCTGTGAAAGTAAATAGAATACTTACTACAGTATAGTCAATATGGTGCATCCAGTGCCACGTACAGAGCAGACTATTTGGAAGAAAAAATAAAAATGTCATTTGTTTAGAAGCTTAAATTAGCTTCTGTATGAATCTCAAGAAGAGAAGAGAAAATTACCATCAGCATGAAGATCCCACAGTCAACTCCATAGTCTTGGCTTGGAAAACCCTGTATTACATTGAAAATAAAGGCTCGTTAATAAAATCCCTTAAAAGAAGACTAGTGTAATTCATATCATTCACCATACACTTAAACTAGCACATACCTTCAAGTCAAAGCTCTTTTTTTCTGACCACTGCCCGGGAATGATCTTCACTGCAAGATTCCTTTTTTTTTAAAAGACAGTTACATTCACAAGTTAACAGATGTCATGATGATGGGTGTGAAATGTTTATTGCTAATAGCACCAACTGTAACTACAGGCCTTAGGAACACGACCTCAACAAAACAGCATAACAAAATGAAAAAGTACAGTCACATGCTCACAGTTGGTCAAAATAAAGCATTTACAGCTTTAAGTTAAGGTTGGCATATTTTATAAACTCATTTTTAATGGTCTTTTATGTTAAACTAGAACATTTGAAGACCCTATTTATGTCTGAAACTCATCTAAAGACAGCATCACTGACTTGATCATAATGTGAAGATGAGAAATAGAATAAAATGTTGAAGCATCATTATGCTGCCCTCACGACACGTGACCCTGTGAGGTTAGACAGCTAGCGAACAAACAGAAGAGGTCTTCCACACAAGGCTTGACTTTCTTGTTTTTATATAACTAGAATATGAGAAAAAATGAAAATGAATCGCTGGTTAACACACATCTTAATAACAACTTGCCGATTAGCCTAGCTTAACATGTACATTACATCAGCATACAGTTCGCTCCATAACGACTGTCTCTACACATGTCAATACTCACAAAGACGAACATTTTCCAAGGTGCGAACGTGTAGAGCACTCTTAGCGTGAACATGAACTAGTCCCTATTTAATAACTGCCGGAGCACTTTTTCACGACATCATAAGCGAAAGGGTACATCAAAGATAGGTTAGTGAACAGGACGCTCCCTCGCTCCATTTCCGCACATAGGATACAAAGATCTCTTGTGGAAATGATGTCTCACTCTGAGCTTATTTATCACTCTGCTTATGTGGCTCAATCAGCACACACACCAACCGCTGACTTTTGACTCAAGGGCATAACACTCCCCGCTTGATATACACACATTATATCACAATAAACATCAATACAACATATTCAAACATCATCTAGCATTGAAGAATATTCATTCAGTCTCTGCAAGCAAAACAACAATCTCTGAAACTGGTCTGAGAAACATTTTAACAGTCCCATCTTTTACAGTCCGCACTTCCACTTTTCGGACCTTCTTGTCGCTGCTGGGGAATGTTTTTACTATTAGTCCCATGGGCCATTCGTTCCTGCTGGCTTGGGGGTCCTTTAGCAGGACCACATCTCCTATTTTGACATTAGGTCTAGTCTCTGTCCATTTTGCACGACCTTGTAAGGTGGATAAATACTCTCCCTTCCACCTTTTCCAAAAAGTGTCAGCGAGGAGTTGAACATGTTTCCATTGTTTCCCAAACAGCTGCCCTGATGAGAAGTTCCCAAGTGGGGCGGACACAGCACTCATCTTCTGCGTTAGTAGCACTGCTGGAGTGAGTACTGCAGGACTGTCAGGGTCGGTGGATATGGGAACAAGAGGCCTTGCATTAATAATTGCCATCACCTCGGCCATGAAGGTACACAACACTTCATGAGTAAGACGTGTTTGTTCAGTTCGTAACAACATTGCATCCAGAATGCGCCTGGCAACGCCTATAAGGCGCTCCCACGAGCCTCCCATATGAGACGCATGAGGGGGATTGAAAGTCCAAACGCACCCTCTCTCTTGCAGGTACTTTCCTACTGCTTTGTTTCCTGAGTTTAGGTCTAATTCCTTACAAGCGCCCACAAAATTCGTGCCTCTGTCCGAGCGCAGAAACTTGGCCGGGCCCCGAATAGAGAAGAGCCTTCTTAATGCATTGATAAAACTATCAGCAGACATAGTCTCTATCAGTTCGATATGCACAGCCCTAGTTGACATGCATGTGAATAACACAGCCCAACGTTTGTTCTGGGAACAACCACCTCTTGTACGACGCGTCACAATAGTCCATGGCCCAAATACATCTAGGCCTACAGTGGTAAAGGGTGGTTCAGGGGTGACTCGGTCTGCAGGCAAGTCTGCCATTTTCTGGATCTGCATTTTGCCTCGCAACTTGCGACATGTGACACACCGATGAATGACAGATGACACAAGCCGCTTCCCTCCAATTATCCAGTACCCAGCACCACGGATAGCTCCTTCAGTTATGTGTCTTCCTTGATGAGCCACTCGTTCATGATAGTGAGTTACAATTAGCATGGCGATGTGGCTGGTAGATGGGATAATCAGAGGGTGCTTTTCATTCTCTGTGAGATCGGCAGCGGAAAGACGTCCACCGACTCGTAAGAGACTGTCTTTGTCCACTACAGGATTGAGCTTTTTGAGTGCATCAAATATGCCACTGACCTTCCTTCCTTTTTTAATGTTTTCAAGCGTCCCTTTGTAAGCTTCTTGTTGGACGGCTCGAATAATGACTGCTTGGGCTCGGGTGAGTTCTTGGACGCTCGGTGTCTCACTGAAACCTTTCCATCCCCTTTGTCCACTTGTCTTTTGTGCAAAGGATGTAACTACATGAATGAGTCTGGCTATGACTCTGCAAAGAGTGATCCAGTTTGAGTACTTTTTGAAACGGTCAGAACCCAACTGTGGCTCTGCTACAGTAGTTTTCATTACTTTTATTTCCGGATGTATCTCTCTGTCTTTTTCAGGTTCGATGAGCGTGAAAGGACCACTGTGTGGTTCTGTGTGTGGGTCAGAGTACAGAAAGGGTGGACCTGAGAACCAGGTACTGTTCTGCAGGTCTGCTGCTGGAATGAACCGAGTGGCCTGGTCAGCTGGATTTAACTCACTTGGTACATAATGCCATTGACTCGGATGGGTGGATGCTCTAATGCGCGTAACCCTGTTGGCAACATACATGTAGAATCGTCTGGAGGTGTTGTGTATGTACCCCAACACAATCCTACTGTCTGTGTAAAAAGTCACATTGTCTACTTTAATGTCTAACTCGTCTCTGATGAGCTCAAACATTTCCACCGCGAGCACAGCAGCACATAGTTCCAGGCGTGGTACAGTGTGTGCGGGGCGGGGTGCGAGTTTAGACTTCCCCATCACAAACCCAGTATGACACTGTCCTTCACTGTCAACTGTACGCAGATAGACTACTGCACCTATAGCGACAGTGGAGGCATCACAGAAAATGCAAAGTTCTTTCACTTTCGTTGTGCTTAACGTACCTGGGCTGTAGCACCTTGGTATTTGGAGGTTCTCAAGGGCTTGCAAAGAGTCTTTCCATAAGTCCCACCTCTCCTGTTTCTCAGGGGTAAGAGTGTGTCCCAGTCTTTTCCATCAGATGACAGTTCCCTGAGTAATGCTTTGCCCTGCATTATTATGGGAGCAGCAAATCCCAAAGGGTCATAGAGGCTATTAACTGTCGACAATACTCCCCTCCGTGTGAATGGTTTGCTCTCATTTGACACCTGGTAAGTGAAGCTGTCAGATTGTAGGTTCCAACAGAGTCCCAAGCTTCTCTGAACTGGAAGAGGGTCTACTCCTAGGTCTAAATCTTTCAGGTCCTTTGCACGATCCTCAACATGGAAAGCTTCCATGACTTGACTGCAGTTTGATGCCACCTTGTGGAGGCGCAAGTTAGACTCTGCCAACATGTTTTGCGTTCTTGTGAGCAGGTTGATTGCTTCCTCTGGCGTGGCGACTGATGTGAGACCATCGTCAACATAAAACTGACGCTCAACAAACTGTCTTGCATCAGATCCGTGTTCTCGTTCTCCCTGCTGTGCTGCCTGTCTCATGCAGTAGATGGCAACAGCAGGTGACGGGCTGTTTCCAAACACGTGGACCTTCATTCTAAACTCAACTATGCTCTTTGTAATGTCATTGTCCTCATACCACAGATAACGGAGATAATCTCTGTGGTCTTCGCGCACAACGAAGCAGTAAAACATTTGCTGCACATCGGCTGTCAGGGCTATGGGCTCTTTGCGGAAGCGCAACAGCACTCCCAATAGGGAGTTGTTCAAATCAGGTCCGCCAAGAAGCACTTGATTGAGCGAAATTCCATCACATTCTGCACTTGAATCAAACACGATTCGTATTTGTTGTGGCTTCTGTGGGTGGTATACCCCAAACGTGGGCAGATACCAATGTTCTTTATTTAGTGGCAGAGGAGGGGCAGGCTCGGCTTGGTCGTTATCCAACATTTTCTGCATGAATTGGATGTAGTGATCTTTCATTTCTGGTCTCTTTTCCAAAGTCTTTCGGAGAGAGCAGAGGCGTTTTAGGGCTTGTTCTCTGTTGTCAGGGAGCCTCCTTCTCTGTGAGCGAAAGGGTAAAGGTGCAACCCAGCTGTTCTCTTGGTTTTGATAAACTTCACTGTCCATTATTGTCAGGAATGCTCTGTCGTCGATAGACATGGCTTGTTTGTTATCACCCTCAGATCTAACAAACACAGAGTGTCCCAAATCATCTGTGATGCAGGTTGCATTCATAGTGACCCCATAATTCTCTTTAACGTGAATTGTGTTTGGGCAAGGCTCAAAATAGGATGCACGTCCATTATCTAAGGTGTGTGTTTTATAGACATTGACCTCTGACTGACTGTGCGCTTTTCCTAAACACACCTCCCCCACAATAACCCAACCCAGGTCTAGCCTTTGGGCGTATGGTGCATCATTGGGTCCGTTGATTTGCTCACGTACCTTATGGACCCTGATGACGTCCCTTCCAAGGAGTAAAAGGATTGGGGCGTGGTGGTCGACAGGTGGGATGTTATCTGTCACTGGAAGAAGATGTGGGTGATGCTGGGCAATCTCTGGAGAGGGTATTTCAGATCTATTGTCCGGCACAGAGTCACATTCAATTAAAGGGGGTAGCTGGATGTTGACTTCTCCATCCAAAGACTCGAGGAAGAAGTTTACGGCTCTCCTACCTGAGGTTTGTTCTCTGCCAGAGCAAGTCTTTAAGGTGTATGGAGTGGGTTTGGCATTGATTTTGAAAAGGCTGAAAAACTCTGACTTAACCAGTGACCTGTTGGACTGATCATCTATTACTGCATACATTTTTATAGCTCTCTCTTTTTGGCCTGCGGGATACACTTTGACCAAACTGATCTTAGAACATGAACGTGGGCTATCACCTTGGCCACATACCTCTGTGCACTTCGACTCGACTGAAGGTGAGCTCTCGATTTGCTCTTCATTGTCGTTGTTTCCTGGTGTAGTACTCTTAGGGGCAAGAGTAGGACCAGGATGCATTGCAGATAAGTGTTTAAGGCTGTCACATTCAATACACTTAACCATTGCTTTACAGTTTTTTGCAATGTGTTGGACAGACCCACAGCATCTGTAGCATATGTGGTGCTCTTTGAGATAGGCTTGTCTTTCTTCAATAGTTTTGTCTCTAAAGAGCTGTGGTTTTTTGTGGATTGGGCACTGGCGGTCCGGTTCCTCCATTTTCTTTGGACTGAGATTATTCTGGTCCGACTCTGCCGTAATGTCCATTTTGTGTGCTGACACAGTAGGTTTGCGACTATAAGACCTCAGTTTTTCTGTTGGGGGAGAAGGGACATGGGTGTTGGCCTTGGACATAGCAAAGCTTGGGTCATTCCTCATTTTCGCTTGCCGCTGGACAAATTGTGTGAAAACTGAGAAAGGAGGAAATGACACACTATGAGTGTCCTTGTACTGTGTTCCTACAGTTGTCCACTTTTCCTGTAGGTTGAAGGGAAGTTTTTCCACTATTTGCCTGACTCCTCTAGCTGTGTCCAGGTAAGCAAGTCCTGGGAGTGCACCATCTTGTTTAGCACACTGTGGCTCCAATAAGATGTCACTAAGTTCCTGCAGCTTAACATTGTCTTTGTTTGTGAGTTTGGGAAAGTCCTCTACCTTTTTTAAGAGTGCGTCCTCAATAGCCTCAGGTGAGCCGTAGCACTCTTCAAGGCGTTGCCAGACCATCTTCGCACCTGCAGCAGGATTGAGGGTGTGTACAGCACGAATGCGCTTAGCCTGTTCGGATGATGTTGGACCCAACCATTTTGTTAGCAAGTCTAATTCCTCTCTTGGAGACAAATTTAGGTCTTTGGTTGCGCTGATGAATGAGGTTTTCCATGCCCAATAGTTTTCAGGTTTGTCATCAAATTGCAAAAGACCTGTGCTGACTAGTTCTTTGCGAATTAGGTATTTTGCAAACTGTTGCATTTCACTTGATTCAGGTACACAGTTGTTAAGGTTGGGGGTGTGCTTTGTGGAGTTGGACCAGTACGTGTCGACTACACCAGTGTTCACTGTTTGCTCCTGTTTCCTTTCTCTATTTACAGGTGGTGTTTTCGTCTGAGTGTTGGTTATAAAAGGATTAGTTATTTGTGTACTGTCTTGTGCATCTACTTCATTGCAATTTCCTTTAGGAGGCTGTGCTGAGTCGTGCTGAGTGTCTGGGTAGAGTAACTCACATTGTTGTTGAACATATTCGTTAGTGCGGTGCACTGTACTGATGGGCTCAGCTTCCTCACAAAGTTCTCCGTAGAGCTCCCCGCTCTGAATCTCTGCTTCTTCATAGGCTGAGGCCTCTGCTTCAGCTGCGGCTATTGCTTTTTGGCACTGGAGGACATGTAGATGAGCATCCAGTTCAGCTCTCTGTTTCATTGCATTAGCTTCCTTTTCAGCGAAGGCCAGTTGAGCTCGTGCTGCTTGAGCTTTGGCGTAGGCCCTTGCAGCTGCAGAAGCTATTGATGAGGATGTCCGTTGAGAACGCCTTGTCGAGGTTCTGGATTGCTGCGACTTGGTGTCGAATGGTTGAGACCGTTGCTGCGTTGTAGCTGGTTGAGTGGCAACGTCTGGTTGCTGTTCACCACCGGCTGCTTCGTCTAGCTCTTCAGCAGCGTAGTCTTTTAGGTAATTTCTTCCTGAGCGTAGACTCATGTTGCTTAAAGTAGCTCTGTATGTTTGAACCCGCTGAGTAGGCGTCTTTTCCTTCGTCTTTTTACTATGCTGCCCTCACGACACGTGACCCTGTGAGGTTAGACAGCTAGCGAACAAATAGAAGAGGTCTTCCACACAAGGCTTGACTTTCTTGTTTTTATATAACTAGAACATGAGAAAAAATGAAAATGAATCGCTGGTTAACACACATCTTAATAACAACTTGCCGATTAGCCTAGCTTAACATGTACATTACATCAGCATACAGTTCGCTCCATGTAAACACACATAACGACTGTCTCTACACATGTCAATACTCACAAAGACGAACATTTTCCAAGGTGCGAACGTGTAGAGCACTCTTAGCGTGAACATGAACTAGTCCCTATTTAATAACTGCCGGAGCACTTTTTCACGACATCATAAGCGAAAGGGTACATCAAAGATAGGTTAGTGAACAGGACGCTCCCTCGCTCCATTTCCGCACATAGGATACAAAGATCTCTTGTGGAAATGATGTCTCACTCTGAGCTTATTTATCACTCTGCTTATGTGGCTCAATCAGCACACACACCAACCGCTGACTTTTGACTCAAGGGCATAACAATCATGCTGATATATCCATCCATCCATCCATCCATCCATTCGCTTCCGCTTATCCTTTTCAGGGTCGCTGGAGCGAATCCCAGCTGTCATAGGGCGAGAGACGGGGTACACCCTGGACAGGTCGCCAGTCTGTCGCAGGGCCAACACACAGGGACAGACAACCATTCACACTCACATTCACACCTAGTGACAATTTGGATTATCCAATTAACCTATCCCCACAAGCTGCATGTCTTTGTACGGTGGGAGGAAGCCGGAGTACCCGGAGAGAACCCACGCAAACACGGGGAGAACATGCAAACTCCACACAGAAACTTGCTGATATAGTTTATAAAAAAAGCATGTGAGTGTACTGTATGTGTGAACACTCAAGATCAGCAGAACATGATCTGGGATGCACTTAACCTGGAACACTGAACAGGTTCCTGAAAACTCCGGAACAAACCAAAAATGCTTATAAAGATGTGACCTCAAAAGTGAAACATATTGTTGGCCACCAAATCCTGCCTTGGTGTTTATTGGGTCAAGAAAGAGGATTTCTCTTTGAGGTGGCTTCAGTACCTAAAAGACAGTTAGCCATGACTTCAAACCTGAAAACAATGTCATTGCAAGCGATCACAATCAAAGACTTTTGAAACTGCGTCATAAAAGCTTGAATACATCTCAGACACATAGAAAAATTCTAACAGTTTGTACGTGTCAAAAAACAAGACTTACACACAACTGGAAATGACCAGGTGTCCAGAGAGGGAGAACTATGATGTGCATCCTCTGAGCATCAGTCTGAAACAGAATTGTTTTTTAAGTATCCTGTATATGAACTCTCACCAAAGTTATAAAAAAAAATCATTTGGATTACTTGCTTGTTTCTTTAAAGGACGGTACACTTACAGGAAAGGACTGCAATGGATCACAGCCATAGGGTGCAAGCCAAGTCCGGGTGACATACAGATTTTCTATGTAAATGCTTATCCCCTAGAATGTAAACAAAAACATTTAAAACAACAACTCTCTAAATTAAAGCTTGACAATCATCATATACAACATACAGTACCTTTGACTGGACAATTTTAGTGATAAGCTCAAAACAGCCATTTCCAATCTGAAACAGAAAAAATCATGAAAGAAATGAATGTACACTTTATTATTTCATATTCATAGAAAAAAAATACTTACAGTCGATTCCATTTGTTTGTTTAAACCCAGTGTCCAAAAGTCTGCCCGCATGAGGCATCCAGAAGACGTTTCAACAATCAGCTCATCTTTGGGTCTGCTGATGTCCAGAACATAGTTGAGCTAAAAAAACAGAGAGGTGTCATAGACTGTGGATGACCAAATCAGATAAGCACTAAAAGTTGCACTTTGCAACATCTGAAAACTTTAACATACAAGCTGTTGTTGGCCAGGGTGCGGTACAAAACACCACAATGAACGGCTGGCCAAAATGTTCTCAGGCTTTGTCAGAGCTTCGCACGGTGGTCCACACAGGTCAGGAAAAGTTGCATCTGTTGAGACCTTCTGTTGGCTTTCTTGTTGTCAACTCTTTCCTGAGGTCCTATAGGGATTTTAACAGGTTTCAGACAAAACACTACATAGAATGCACATTAAATGCATACAAATGCAAGAAAAATAAGCACTATCTATAGAAGGAAATTCATTTGAAACAGCATGTAACAAATTCGTTTATGAGCCATCAACTACAACAAGATAATGAATGCAAGATTATTATTTCACCTATATATGACAATCACTATTCAAAATAAGAAATTTTACCAGTGTCACCAGACATTGAAGGTGCTGGGTTCAACACCGTTTCAGTGATTTCTCTGGGTTTATTGCACACCTGTGGGGCTAGGTACACAAAGAAAAGAATATACTCACAGATAGGAACAAACCTAACATGTAAACAATGGTAGCGTTCTGGTCATGAGACAATGCATGTACTTACCTACAACAGCTTGACCCAGTGCCGACAATGAGATATTGATCTGTGTGTTTCTCTGCCATGGAGCACGATGAAAAAACATTAAAACAAGAAGGAATGTTGTTGTAACGCAAAAAAAGTGGCAACATGATCATTGTACGAAAACTAGATGATTCCTAGAATTATGAAATCACTAACGGCAAATTTATTTAAGAAAGACTCTGTCCCAACCTTTGCGATCAACCTGCAAGACTTCCACGGTATCCATGCGTGTTTACGGCTACTGTGGAGGTCACGTGTTTCCGGTTAGTGTGGAGGTCACGTGTATCCGGTTACTGTGGAGCTCCACAGAGGCTGTCACTACCCGATCCGTACAAAAGGAGCGTTCCTAAAGGAGGGTTATGCAATAATAGACGGTAAAAGGATCGATCTGTGAGATGCACTTGAAGAAGTCACTACAAGTTAACCAAAAAATGTGGGTATGTATGTGTATATATGTTTATATATACATATCTGTTAAAAATACACAAATAAAAAATAGGAGAGGGTCAAAAAGCAAAGTCGTAGTTAAATGTGAGCTATCCAGAGCTAAAATTGCCGCATATATAAAGGGGTAGTACTGTGATAGGGTCGGAGTACTGTTATGATTACATAGGTAGGACACTAGGCTTATTCCTCCTTCAAGCACTTTTTTTTCTTCTAGTAAGTGCCAAGGAAGCCGTTACTGTTCTTGTTTTGTATTTTGTTCTTGCGTTTTTGTTTTTGTTTTTTCTTTATCTTATAGATGGCTGTTCTATTAAGTTCCTTAAATGTTCGAGGCCTAAAAAACAATGTCAAACGTAAGGCCATGTTTTTATTCTGCAAGGAAATTAAGGCAAACATTTTGTTTTTACAAGAAACACATTCTGGTAAGGAAGAGGAAACATTTTGGAAACATCAATGGGGAGATAGTATTCTTTATTCACATGGTACTACTCACTCAGCAGGAGTTATGATCTTATTCAACAAATTTGCAGGGAGAGTTATTGATCATAAAAGCGACGGAATGGGGCATTGGATCATGGTGTTGGTAGAAGTCTGTGAACAGAAAATTATTCTTATTAACGTGTATGGATACAATAACAGGTCGCTAAATAGAAATATGATGTCTAACTTAAGTAAATTAATTGCAAAGTGGAGTACTACATATGGTTCTACCCAGGTAATAACTGGAGGCGATTTTAACCTGGCTCCTAACTCATGGCTTGACAGACAACCACAAAGAGGAAATCAACCAGAACACGATAGCATTATTTGTGACTTTTGTACGACAACCAATATGATCGATTATTGGAGGATGACAAACCCAAATACGAAGAAATATACTTGGTTTAGTCCATCAAATAAAAACGTATGTTCAAGATTAGATTATTGGCTTGTCTCCCAAACAGTATCATCATATGTTACGAAATGTGAGACCCAGTCAACCCCACTTACTGATCATTGTCTGACAAGTCTCTTATTATCTCTACGTAAACAACAAAGATCTGACAACATATGGAAATTTAACAATAGTTTATTACAAAACGAAGACTTTTGTAAACAAGTTAAAAAACTTAAATCAGAAATTAACAATATGAGCATGACTAATGTCAGTAAATGGGAATGGTTTAAATATAGTGTGAAACAATTAGCTATAGAAACGGGAAAGAAAGTGTCTGCCCTACGCGTATGTGAACAGAAAAATCTAATTGAACAAATTCATTTATTATGTGGTAAACCCTGTATGACTGCGGAAGAGTCAGAACGCTTACAATCTTTACAAAATAAGCTAGATGAGGTGTACTTGATTAAAGCTAAAGGAGCATATGTAAGGTCTAGAGCCAAGTGGATTGAACATGGAGAAAAAAATTCATCTTATTTCTATAGTCTAGAGAAGCGTAGACAAACAAAGAAAAAAATAACTAAATTGAGTAAGGATGGTACTATAATTGAGGAACCAAACAAAATAAGTGAGGAAATTAACATGTTCTATAGTAATCTGTATAAATCAAGAACTGAAAAAGAAAATGCAGATATCTTTTTTGATATGATTAAAGATCAGGTTAAAAAATTGGAAGAGGATGATAAAACATGGTTAGAAGAAGATTTGAAAATATCCGAATTAGATACAGCTCTAAAACAAATGAAAAATGGAAAATCGCCTGGAATTGATGGTCTAACGATTGAATTTTATAAAACCTTTTGGCAAGACATTAAAGATTTGTTATTTAATGGCTTTTTGGATTGTTTAAAAAATGAAGAACTATCCCCAACAACGAAAACAGGATTAATAACCTTATTACCCAAACCAAACAAAGATTTACAAATGCTAGACAATTGGAGACCCATAACACTTTTATGTAACGACTACAAATTATTAGCCTTAGTATATGCAAATAGGCTTAAAAGCGTCTTAACCAAATTGATTGATGAGTGCCAATCAGCGTTTATTAAAGGAAGGCAGATTCATAATAACATAAGATTAATATTAGATATGATTGACTATCGATCCTTTATTAATTCAGAAAGTTTAATACTATTTATTGACTTTTTTAAAGCATTTGATTCAATAGACCATAATTTTTTATTTAGATCTTTAGAACTTTTTGGATTTGGAAACAAATTTTGCAAAGTGATCAAACTGTTCTACAAGCAAATTTATAGTTATGTTTCGCTCAATCCAGGCATAACATCTAGGATAGACATATTCTGTGGAATTCGACAGGGTTGCCCAATTTCTCCAAAATTATTTATTCTTTGCACTCAATTAATGGCTTACCTCATTGTGAACCATTCAGACATCGAAGGAATAAACATTTTTGATATTGAACTGAAAATAAGTCAGTTTGCAGATGACACAGTAATATTTTTAAAGGATAAATCAATACTCAAGAAAGCATTGAATGTCATTTCAATTTTTTCTAAAGCTTCAGGCTTGTGTCTGAACCTAAAGAAGTGTGAACTTTTGCCACTTTATGATTGTTTGGAAAATAGCATGAGGACGATTCCAGTGAAAAATGAAGTTAAGTATCTAGGCATCTATTTAGACAAAGACATCAACACTAGAGAATCAAAAAACCTAAAAGACAAAATTGATGGCATGTCCAAAACACTAAATCATTGGTTGACGAGAGATATTACAATTTTTGGACGCAATCTATTATCCAAATCAGAGGGCGTCTCAAAGATGGTTTATCCAGCATATTCACTATACATTACCCCGAAAAGCATTAAAAAGATTAACTCTATAATCTATCAATTCATTTGGCGCAATAAAACACATTACATTAAAAAATCACAACTTGTCAAAGATTACGCTAAAGGTGGTATAAAGTCAATTGATTTTCAATCAATGGTTGGAGTATTTAAAATAAACTGGATAAAAGCCTTCCTCTTGAAACCTGACTCCATATGGTTCCATATCCCAAAAAATATTTTCAAAAAGGTGGGAGGGTTGGATTTTCTCCTGAAATGTGGTTTTGATATATTGAAGTTGCCTGTGAAACTGTCAGAATATCATAAGCAGGTCTTGTCTTATTGGAAGATGGTGTTTGCCCATAACTTTTCACCACATTGCTCCACCTTGTGGAATAACAGAACAATTACAATTAATAAGAAGTCATTGTTTGTTGAAGAGTGGTTTGAAAAAAACATAATCTTTATAACAGACTTACTTGATGAAAGGGGTCAGTTTCTCTCAGTGGGTGTTTTTAATGCGAAGTTTAACATTCAGTGTTCCCTTAGAGAATATGACAAGGTTTGTAAGGCAATCCCCTTACCTCTGTTGAGTTTGATTCAAGGTTATTTGTATTACTCTAAGGCACAAATTTGTCTACCTTCTTTACATCTAAACCAGATTCCTTTGACGGATAAAAACTGTAATAATAAAACCATGAACAAGATATTTAAAAACAAATTATTTCACGACTTTAACAGTAACACAAAACTAAAAGGGAGTAATGTTAAAATAACGAACAAATATACACACTTTTTAAAATGGCCTATCCCCCCCAAAGTCAAAGAAATGCAATTTAAAATAATTAATGGATATTACCCAGCAGCTGAAATGCTTAAAAAAAGGTTTGGGTTTGAGGTAGAGCCATGTGGATTTTATTCACAAAATGTGGAAAGTATTGATCATTTGTTTTTTTCCTGCT